TCGGGCGTCAATTCTTGGAACCAAACGGTTAACGGTGTTGTATTTTATTGAGTATGACGGAGAAGTACAGCTTGAGGTAGTTTAGAAATGCTAAATTGTACGTCAAATGAAGTCGAATAAGTGTAAAGAAAAAAAATTATTAATGGAATGGACTTGAGCTTAGTTAACAGTTATTAAGTTCGAATATCGTGTACGATAAAAAATTTTGTTGCCAAAAAATTATACTCGAACTTAATAATGTTAAATAAGGTGCCTACGTATCCCTTTATTTGGGAATCAAAGTCCACGTAGTTCTTCTAAATCACATACCTTGGTTGCATACCTTTAATATTAGTATTCGTCTTCGACGTCCCCCCCGGTTCCACTTGTCGATGACGTAAAATCAAATGCATCGTCGTTGTCGTCCTCCTCCTCATTCGAAGTGAGCATAACAGTTTGCATCCTTCGTTCGGCCTTCTTCCAATCACTCAGCAACATTTGTGCTTGAAGATTATCAGGCGTCATCCTCGACCGTCGTGGATCTAGCATGTAGCCGCTCTCACTGAATGCTTGCTCAACCGCGACTGTAGATGCTGGGACAACAAAGATCTCCTTGGCCATAATGCACGGAATAGGAAAAATTCCTTCCATTCTTGACCACCAATCTAACACATCGAAATTGAGTGGCGGTTGAGGTGGACGTGCAATCGTAACGGCTAAATTCGACGTAAGGTAGTGATCCAGCTCATAGTATCTAGTCCCCTGCACCCTTTGACCGCCCGAATTTTTGTAGGGATTTAATGAATCCCAAAACACTTTGAAGTTTCCTTAGTTTGTATTGCCGCTTTGCCCTCCGTACGAAGATGAAGACCCACTGCCGCTTGCGCCGCTGCTACGAACAAATGTGCTGGGAGACTCTCCATGTGCGATCGCTGTTTCCCTGAACATGTCATACAATGAATTTTTTGCTTGCTCGACGAGCTGCGGTATGTTAGGTTTGTCCCTGTAAGTCGGGACCCCACTCGGCAGTGGCAATTGATACATATAATCATAGTACATATTAAGTTGATTTAACAAACCTTGCTCACGAACTGTAGGATCTAACAGACATGCAATTAAAAATGTATCGGGAATATAGTAATAATATTTTAGCCATTTTTGTAACATATCTTCTACTAGACAAGAATATTTAAAAGGTTCTAAGTCATAAACATCTTTAAAACCCCACATTATAGCTATACAAAGACTGACCACAAGTTGAGCAGTAGGATGGGTAAACACCAGAAAGAATATTAGTAGCGTTTTGAAATGTTTCTAAAAAATTTGTAAGTTGCGAACATTTTGCCCAATCATTCACCGAAAGTCGAACATCACAATCCCTACGGTTTGGATCATTAAAAAAATCCTGTAAATGCTCGGCATAATCAGCGGTGACATTCAACATTTTAAATGTTGAATTCCACCGGGTAGGCACGTCTGGCTGGAATTTTTTAGGTTTAATTCCAACACTCTTACAAAATCGTCCCCATGCTTTCATTTCCTGGGGACGTTTATGCAATTAATTGACGACCTCCCTTATTGGCGTCACAGAATCCTTAAAAGCATGATAACCAACTTGAACACACAAATTTAAAACATGACATATACAACGAATATGAAAAAATCTACCCCCACAGATTGGTGTACAAACATCATTTAATTCACGTATAGATGCAGTATTTGCAGTCGCATTATCAAATGAAATTGAAAATACTTTTTTACCAATACTATATTTATCTAAGATTTTTGAAATTAAACGAGAAATATTAGAAGCAGTGTGTCGTTCATGAAATGCAACATAACCGATTAAACGTTTTT